TATATACTCACAACTGAAATGATCTTTAATAAAAGAATGACTTGTGGAAAATTGTAGAAGTGTCACCACTGAGGAAATCGCTGAAATAAAAATCGGGTCTGGGGCCATCATAAACATAACTTATTCACGAAATAATTTCTGTGCAAGCATTTTCCATAAGGAAGTTGAAGCAGGAATAAAAGTCCTTTAAATCTAGCTGAATCTTTGAAATAAATGAAAGGGAGAGAGACCGGGAAATTCTGCTGTCCCACAAGACGATGTTCTGGCTCGCATGCAGCAGAGCGCTCTGAGCGTTGTTCAGCTTTATTTTATTTTATTTTATTTTATTTTATTTTATTTTATTTTATTTTATTTTATTTTATTTTATTTTATTTTTTTAATCCTCACCAAGGATATTTTAAATTTATCTTCAGACAGAGTGGGAGGGAGAGAGAGAGAGAGAGAAACGTTGATGTGTCACATGGATTGGTTGCCACCCAAAGGACCCCAACTGGGTTCGGGGACGAACTGCAACCGAGGAACCTGCCCTTGGCCAGAATCAAACCCAGGTCTCTCTGGACCACAGGCCGACACTCTAACCGCTGAGCCAAACTGGCCAGGGCGTGTTGTTCAACTTTAAAGTGTTCCAAATTTACTTCTCTTTGGGTGGTCAATAATATGTTACCAGCAGATTAAAAAACATAAACACATACTGAATGTGTCTCTTTAAGTAAAGTATATATTTCTAAAAGAGCTAAATGGTCACTTCAAAAAATTTTGCTGTGAAAAAGGCATTTTGAAATGTGATATTTGGACATTTTTTATTGTTACGGGATTTTTTGCTGCTCAAAATAATGGAATTATGCCCTGGCCAGTTTTGCTCAGTGGTTAGAACCTCGGCCCGCGGACCAGAGAGTCCTGGGTTCAGTTCCCGCTAAGGGCACGTACCTTGGTTGCAGTTTGTCCCCAGCCCTGGTTGGGGTCGTGTGGATGGCAGCCAGTCTATGTGTCTCTCTCACATCGATGTTTCTCTCTCTCTCTTCCTCCCTCTCTCCCTTCCCCTCTATCTGAAGATAAATGCAAAAAAAATAAATAAATAAAAAAGTACATGTCCTCAGGTGAGGATAAAAAATAATAATAATGGAATTATGCCATATATTAAAATATATCTGAACACTAAAGACACTAAAAAATAAAGATTTCTAAACTGTTTAAAAATTTTCCAAAAATACAGTGTCCAGACTTGAAACCAACTGTTTAAAAGACTAACTAATTCACGTTAAAATTTGCTAACACAATTTCAACAGAACTTTTGGCACATTTGGTAGGTAAGACAGAAAAAGGAGAATCATAATTTAGTTAACACAGTCAACGATGAAGTCTACTTGGACCTTTGAAATTTTGCATTACATCTTTTTCTGCTACATTAGCCATAAAACCAGATTCAAAATAAATTGAGTGTGAAACCAGACCATCAGATCACACGGTCACGAAGGGTGCAGCAATGACTGTAATACAATTAAGACCACTGCTGTTAAACACTATAGAGTATCAATAATACCATTAATATGCTGTTAATAAATAAAATCATTTTATAAATATTTTTAAATTTATTTAGCATCATTTTAAAATATCTTTTTGTGTGTGCTTTATAATACACTGTACTAGACTACACTAGTGCAGTAATAGATATATAAAGTTTGCTAATAATAAACATACATACACTGGATATGTACACTCAAAATTTCTACCAATGGGGTATAAAATTTAAGAAAATAGCTGTACAGTAGAATTATAAATAATTGTAAAACCTTTGCCACCCAACAGCATCTGGCAAAATGCTAGCTACACAGTATTTCAAATTGTGTTGACTCACTGAACACCCCCCGAATGCAGAAGATGTGTTTCTCCCTCAGAGCACACATTTCACTTGGTGAATGATTCTTCTGCACGAGTGTATTTGTGTAGGACACTATGAGCATAAAAGCACAGACACTGTGGTTGTAGCTTCTCAGTTGAGACCACCTGTGTCTAAATCTTGCCCCTCTCTCCCATAATTTATTAGCTATGTGATCTTGAATAGATTAGCATCTTCTCCATGTCTCAGTTTCCTTACATGCAAAATTGGGACAACTGCACCTGCCTCACAACTTGTAGTGAAGATCAGATGAGTGATTGTGTAAAGTGTGAGAGAATGCACGAGTGGGTGTGAACCCATGTTTGTGACCATGACCGTGGGTCTAGGCAATACACACACACATACAATCTGGGTGAATATATTGGATATATTTATATGTCATGTAATTTCATTTATATTTCTGGCTCTCAATATGTATTTATGTCGAATAATATTATTAAAAATATTAATAGCCAACACTTATGGAGCATGAGTTCTGGTATTAGTTTAAGCACTTTATACAGATTATCTTGCTCATCTTTGAGAAAAAACATAGGACATAACATAATAACATAACATACTTTTTATATTCCCATTTTACAGATAGAAAACTGAGGCCCAGAAAGGCTAAGTAACTCACTTAAATTCACACAGCTAACATATGATAGAGCCAGAAAAGCTGGCTTTTTAAATCACTACTTACCTATAGTATTCCTTCTAACATTCTGTACTCTTTTCACTTGTATGGTTCTTAGTATTTTATAGCTACTTTCCCGTACAGTAAGCCTCATACCAGTGGGGTGAGTAGAGCAGGGTTACTATCCTCACAAGGAGAGAACACTGGTACGGCTGAAACCACGGTGTCTTCAGGTGGAAGTGTCTCTGTTTACCGGTATCCCGGGTGCCTCTGTGCACGGGAAGCCATTCACCATAAACGTATTGAGTACGTTTATGGTGTCAGATGCAGACATCAGGGCTGGGGATATGAGCTACAGACCTCCCCTGGAAGCGTCACAGCCTGGGGGGGGGGGGGCACATGAAAGGAAACGGAGCATCCCCGTACACAATGTGCTGTCTCTAAGGGAGATATGAAAAGAGTGCCTATGGAGCACAGAAGGAGGGACCATCTGTGCCAGGGGGTCCTGGAAAAGGCAAAGGCAGGGGATGGGCAGGCTTTCCTGGAAGAGAGAATGCATGGGTGAGTGAGTCCATGCCTGTGACCTGACAGTGTGTCTAGGCGTGACTATATAGGGGTCTGAGTGTGTACCTGTTTACACAGGCTTATTCATGTGTTAATGTATGCACACACAGGTTGTGGTGTGGAATCAGAAAGCCTGAATGGAAAAGAGAATGTGTCTAGATGTACACACATCACAGCAAAATCTAAACTGCCCTGGTATGTCCCCCCATTGTCCCCTCCTACCCCTGACACCAGGTTAACCACAGATATCACGTTCCACTCTAGTAATGGCCTTGGGAACTATGGTGGTTAGATTCACCAGATTTTTCACCCTGTCCGTTGGAACGTGTAGTAGTGTAACAGAACCAGCTAGCCTGTGTGAGTGATGGGAGGTGAGGAGTACAGGTATCTGTGGGCGTACGACTTGTGCTCACTTCCGGCTGTGTGTGTGTGAATGCATAGTGCTGGCTGCTCCTAGCCAGACTGGGGAAACCTCCCTTCTCCCCTCATCTTCACTACCTCGAGGAGTTCATGCACGCACCTGTTTCCATCATCATCTGAATGCACCTGGCTTCTGCCTCCACTTAAATGTCCTTCTGTGCTGGGGCTGGGCAGAGGCAAGGTGGGAAGTGCTGGTCCCTCTTTTGTGGAGGCACCCCTTGCTCTCACCCCCACCCCATTCTGGTCCAGGAATCTCCTGCAGGATGAAAAATGTGTGCAAAGGCACACAGGACTGGTGGCAGCCACGAGGAACCCAGAGGATCACTCCCAGGGGTGGCCTGACCAACCTCCTCCCCTGATGACAAAACCTGTATTTAGGGCAAAATGGATGAGGAGGGGAAGTGAGGACTCCTCTCTCCACACACGTTCCCCCAGGGGCTGGGGAGGAAGGGTAGCAGGAAGGCTACAATATTTCTTTCATGCTTACACTATCAAAAAAGCTAAAATAATTGCAAATAATATGTAATTGATGGTGGCTAAAAGTATCTCTATAAAATAGCAAAATAATTGAACTAGATTTTTCCCTTTTGTTATAAGGCATATAAATTCAGAGCCACGGGGTTGTCTAAGGCAAAGGCATTACATGCTGGAATACACTGGTGATTTGTATGTGTTTATATCCTGGTCCAATGCACCGCCACACGGTGAAATAGTCACAGATTAAAATAAGGGAGAATGAACTGCAATAATCAACACATGTAGGATGCCATATTTTAAGTTGAATGAATGAGTGGGTGAAGAGCAAAACAAACACACTCACAAAGTTCAATGGTCTCATACAGTGATCCCTGTGATTATAGTGCCTGGATTCTGCTCTCAGCCCCACCAGTGACAATCTATTGAGAGATTTTTATCATATATTGGAAAACTGGTCCAGTGGCAGGATATCTCTCAAAAATATGAATATGTTTAATCAAGCCTTGTTGGAGTGTCTTTTAAAATGAAAATGATCACTAAAAAAGGGTAGCTAGCTAGTGCATATTTGGATATCTTTATTGTAGTACCACGTATAGTGTATATTTCCATGCTCTGGACACAAATATTTTCCTACACACTAAGGGAAGCTACTGGTTTTGTAATATGCCAGGAGAATTTTCCATAGTCAATATGTTGTTTATTTGCATCAATAATCTGAAAAAGAGAAATCGTCTGATTATGGCCACAGAATCTGTTTAGAGGCTAAGGTTTCTATCATGGACTGCTTTCAACCGTTATATTTTATGGCACAGATTCAGTGGGAATCTGATCTGCTAAAATATTTGGGTTGTGAAAACTCCAACACTGTGACAGATGTCAAGTCCAATTAAGTGACTCATGTCCAGGTTTCTGTCCAATAGGATTTCCCATTAAATATCAATTTAGGGGGAAAAAATTCCATCCCCCTTCTTAAGCCTTTATCTCTTCCACCATCTCCAGGCTGAATCAATTGGTACCAGGAGAGCCAAGAAGCCACGGGCATCTCTGCCTCTTTGCTGAGGCTCTGCCACCCTCTCCGGGCTTTCTCTGCTTCACTGTCACTGTTCCTGCGGGAGACACTCACTTTTCACCAACCTTCTCCAAGCATCTCCAAGCCACTGACTATGTATATTTTGCTACAAGGTAAAGAAAGGAGGGGGTGGGGGTGGGAGATGTAACCAAGCCTTGAAAGACTTTGAAACTGGAAATAGGTGTCTGTTTATACAACATACAAGTAATTGAGGGAAGAGGAAGAGACAAGCTTAGCCCCGAGTTACATACAGTATTGTGTTCCTGGGAACTGGGGAGACATCAGCTGAACAAAGCCTTATCTCAAAAAAAAAAAAAAAAAAAAAAATCACTTCTGAGCAAGATCGCATCTCTGCCTCGCACTTCCAGTTTCTGCTCAGCCCTATTAAGGGGAGGAAAAGGAATCTTACAGGAGCGGAATCTTATCTTAACCATCTTTCTTATCGATTCTTCCGCTATTAGAAAGTGGAGGAATCAGCCCTTTGATGTGACCGTGTTTATCTCTGCATCTCTTTTGTTATTTATAGAGACCTAGAAGAGGAAAAAAAAGCACAAGACTTTTCAACACGTTGTGTCGTTCGGAAAAAAAAAAAAAAAAAATCAACAACGAATTTCCCGAAATGTTTGGGAACAATTAAAAGGAAAAGGCGCTTTTGATCTATCAGCTAAGTAAACAATCATTCATATCGTCCACATCCTGAGATATTATCGTCCCTCGCTGTGGACACCGGCGAGATGACAGCTGCTTTTTCATATTTGAATGTAACAAATATTTTCTGCTTTTGATATATTTCGGAATTTCCCCCCCTGTACCCTGGAATTTTAACTCTAAAAGATTGAAGAAAAGATTATCAAAAAGGCTTTTACAAGGTAAGGCTCCTTTAAATAATTTTTTCCCAGCTTGGAACTAAGTTAGATTGTTTATGTTGCATTGACAGATGCATTTCAGTTAATTGTTAAAGAAATAAAATGCACACACGACGTGCTCTTTATGCATATTTTTTTAAAGGTCTGGAGGAGAATTTAACATGTTATGAGGGCAACCCAGGAACTTTTTACCTGAACTACAACTGAAGTGGCTTCTTCTGATTTTCCATTACTGGTTTATTTATTTATGCCCTTTCAATTTGGTGTGTAGGTTCAAGTTACTCTACTTATAAACGTATCCGTTAAAGGCCCGTAGGGAGTCACATGTAGTTCACTTGGAGCATTTGTTTTTATTTTGCCTCAGAGGACATGTTTTCCTCGCGAGGAAATGAAAGCCGTCTTGGAGCCAAATTCGCTCCTAAGCCAGCGTGGTGCTAGGAGCGGATCGCGCATCTTGCTTTTGTCTCTCTGGAAGCAAACCGTCCTCCAGCGCCCACTCGGATTTCTCCCGCCGCGACGTCGCTCGGGCTGCGCACGCGGGGCCGGGGCTGGCAGCCTGGTCCCAGCTACCGGCGCCCGTGGTCGCACTGGCGCGCGCGGCGCCCGCAGGTGCTATCCTCTCCGGCCCACCTCTTTCTGGAAGCCCGAATTCCCCCAGAGCCCGGCGATCGGGCGCCGCTCCCTCCCCAAAGGCGCGCAGTCGGGGCTCGTGCTCTAGGCGCCGGGAGGAGCAAGGCGAGGCGACCTTTCCAGGAAGCCAGAGTTGGAGGACAGCTGGGAACAGAGCCGCGGGCCTTGGCCAGGCCGCCCGGGACAGCCGCGGGCTCTCGACTCCGATCCCCCGAGCACCCAAACTTTGCGGGTGGAGGTGCAGATCGGGCCAGAACTCCCGCGCGGTGCCCACCTCCTCCGGTCCCCGAGCCCTGCTTTCCCTTCCCTCCCCAGCCTCTCCTCCTGCAGCGCCCCGGCCGCCCGCGTTTTCCCGGGAGTGGTCGGCAGGCTGCCGGGTGCATTGTCTCATCCCACGTCGCTGCGTCCCTGGGTCCCCAATGTGTATGGTTGTCTGCCTGACAGATGGTGCTTCGGGGGCCTGCGAGGGCATACGAGTCACTGTTGTGTTGAAAGGAGCGTCCACGTTTGTTTAGTCAGTTCTTTATGATTTCGGGGAAGCACTGGGAGGACCAGGACACCTGAGCGCTCCGGGGCACTTGCTCCCCGTCTGCGCTCGGGGCCCCGGCTCCTTTCCAGCATCGTAACCGCCCCCCTCCCCCCGCCCCCGCCAACCAGCCCGAGGTCCGCGGGCGGGATCTCTGCCCCCGTAAAACACTGATGTGTTCTGAGTCATTTGTTTGTTGACGAAGAAGAGAGGGAGGCAGAATGGTGGAGTTGGTCTGTGGCCCGAGGCGGCACAAAATCCAGGCCTCGCAGGCCTGCGGTCGTCCCCCGGCCAGGCCCACAGGACTGGCTGGGCCTCATGCAGGCCGAGGTGTCAGGTCCAGGACATGGCCTGGCCGAGGCCAGACGCGCTCCTTCCCCGGGGGGCCAGCTCCGCTGAGCGCGCGGGCCTGGTGTAGGAAGGAGGCTAGGACGCCCAAGGCTCTGTGGGGTGCCCCCCCCCCCCGCTTGCTCTGATCAAAAGCCGGTGATTCCTTTTATTGATTGATTTTCTGACTCCCCCTCAGCCTCCAAAATGATGCTGAGTCCGGACCAAGCCGCCGACTCGGACCACCCCAGCTCGGCACACTCGGATCCGGAGTCGCTGGGCGGCGCGGACGCCAAGGTGCTGGGCAACGTGTCGGACCTGGAGCCGGTGGAGGAGGCCGAGGGCGACGGCAAGGGCAGCAGCCGGGCCGCACTCTACCCGCACCCGCAGCAGCTAAGCCGCGAGGAGAAGCGCCGCCGCCGGCGCGCCACGGCCAAGTACCGGTCGGCCCACGCCACCCGCGAACGCATCCGAGTGGAGGCCTTCAACCTGGCCTTCGCGGAGCTCCGCAAACTGCTACCCACGCTGCCCCCGGACAAGAAGCTTTCCAAGATCGAGATCCTGCGCCTGGCCATCTGCTACATCTCTTATCTCAACCACGTCCTGGACGTGTAAGGTCGGGCGCGCCGCCGGAGCCCGTGGGTCCGGATGTCGGGGGAACGCGACGGACCCGAGAGGCCCCGCTGGGCTGGCGGTGGAGGCGGCGGCCCAGCGGGAGACTTGGATCGGAGAAGAGTATCAACATGTTGCGTTCTCTCCGATCAGCAGGGCGACAAGGGAAGGTTTCCGACTCTGGAGGAGGGGTTGTCTGGCGAGCCTGGGGCTTGCTGGGGCTATTTTCCAAGCCGGGCAGACCTCCTGGAGGCACTGGAGATGAGTGGCATCCAGGCCTACCCTTCCTGTGTTAGGATCCCTTTAAAGGTGGTTCATTTAGCTCACTGGAGACCTGGAATTCTCCTTAGTTTATCTCCCACGAATCTTCAAATTTTGAAAAAATGAAGGCAGAAGTTCGGAGTACAGTCTCATAACTTTAGACTACCTAGATTTTTTTAAATTGACAAATCACCAAACATTCAGAGAGGGAAGGAAGGGACTCTTCTCCAGGGTAGAGATTGTAGGCACATTAAATTGGAACAGGAAACTTTCCATTCCAATATGCAAAGAAAGATTAGATTAGAATCCAAATACAACTGACGAACCCTATATATTTGGTAAGGTCAAAAAGATACACGGAGAACAGATATCTTGTGGGAAGATCTGAGCTTGGTGAGAATCGAACCCTGAGGTGCGACACTAATATAGACAGGAAGATCCATATTTAAGTGGAAAACTTAATATCTGACTGCTTTTTTCAGGCGAAGTGCTCCTTTATATATCCAAAAACATCTATTTGTGACCTTAAACATGTGGACCCATAGGTGCAGTTAGAAAAAGACAACCTATTTTTATTTATGTTAGAAGGAGTAGAGTATTTTTTCCAAGACATTTATTTTTCAGAGTGGTGATACTTTTACTTTGGATACTCTGTGCCAATTTATTTATAGTCAAGTGTTTACACTTTTTCCTGTGGAATAATTATGTCTAACTTTTTATGTGTTTGTTGAGATTATACTATGGTCTTTCTTTTGGCTCTAATTATATTGCACTTGCGTAACAAATCCCCCACTTCTCCCTGTTTCTAAACATATTTTATATATTAAGATGTTTGTTCTTGAAAGGTCCTTTTGTTGTGAGATCAGCAACTCTAATACTTCACTATTATAGTTTTTTTAAAAAGTAAGTGTTGTTATTCTTATCTGTAGTTATGTCTGAAAAGTACTTTACAAACTGTTTATAAGGAGAGTAGCTTCTTTGTGTGTATGTGTGTGTGTGTGTGTGTGTGTGTGTGTGATGTTTATGTGTGGGATGATTTTAGGAAATTAAGTTATTTTCCTAAAAAAAAAAAAAAAAGGAATTCAGAAACTACTTTCCTCTGTGACAACCAAAAAGAAAAGTCTATAACCTGAAAATGTTTCATGTTCTCAGCTGTGAAACTCTTTAAAAAAAGGAGTGTATTTTAGAGACAAGGGGGAAAAAAATCTGCTATCCAAAGATTTTAGTCTTTTTCAGGGTTTTTGTGTGTCTCTGTTGCTTTATATAATGCAATATTTTGTAGTGAAAATAGATATAATCTGGTTTCTATCTGACGAGTTTTTCATATCTCATGAATGGTGCGCTGTTTTGCATATAAATAAAGGTATCAAATAAAGCCCTCTCCTTTATTTTAAGCATACTGTAAAAAAAAAGAAAAAAAGAATGTACAGGCTGAGCATGAAATATCTTAAGGGACTCAATTCCTCAGAAAGAAAACAAAACAAAACCTAAATGTACTGAGATATTTGATGTTCTTCCTAAACTTGAACACTGATCAGTCTATAAAACAGATGCCCCTCATAGGATGCTGACATAGTCATGTTCTCTACATGAGGGGAAAAAGTATAGTGTTCCTATGAAAATACTACTCGAATCATAGATTCTTGTGCTCTAAAAGGAAACTTAGTAACTAACTCAACCTCTTCAAATCAGAGCCGGGAAACTGAGGCCCAGGGAGTGTAAGTCCCTGCACTGTCACACAGCTATGTGAAGTATGAGAAGAATACCCTGATATGATGACTCCTGGTCCTCTGGCACTTATTAAGAACAAGGTGACATTACTACTGTGCGCTAGACATCTAACCAAGACATAGATTCAGGAGATGACACCTGCAAACAAGAAAAAAAAAAATTAAGCCCCAGGCCAACATTGAGATATGAAGAATGTCATCTACAAAAGCTCATAGTTAGTATAAAAATGTGAAATATTCTGTCTACAAGAGGAAGACATGAATGACTTTAAAACTACACACACACACACATATATAGAATATTACAAACCACGGGTCTATATCACACCAAATCTCTGGTTGCAGAGTGAAAAATGCAGTTAGGTGGATGCTTGACTTTATGCCTATAAAATGCATGGGATTGTGAGCATTTTTCACTTTTCACCCTGGTATCTTGCAGTCAGGTTTACAGAGGCCTAGCAAGTGAGACTTCATTCTCTTCTTCATATGGGGGTGCTCAGTAAGGTAGCACCCAGCACATGGAAAAGAATGGTGCCTTCTTTGGCCTTGTATCTGGACTGAGTCCTGCTCACTGCAAGTGTGGCTGGTGTCCTGCAGACACACACAACCTTGGGACTGAGTGTTCGCAAGTCTTCCCACCTCTAGGACTGGGGAGAGATGGCTGCTCCCAGTCTTCATAGTACTTCTCCATTATAGGACGGAAAAACCGGCCTTGACCCAAGGAAATGAAGTCGACTTCTAACCTCCAGAGACCTTCTGAAGGCCTCCCTTTCCTGGTTTAGGAGCCCAACTTCCAGCTGACCGACAGTTCTGCCACTGGCTTCGAAGGACCCGTTAAGTCACCTCCCTAAAGGAAGGCCCTTGCCCTTGGAGTTGGACATTGGGCAGACATAGACAAAGATCAAAATCCCTTCCCAGCTGCACAGCCCATGTGATAGGAGGAGAGGATCTTTGCAGTGTCATTTCAAATCCAAGGCTATTGAGCACCCTCCAAAGAGACAGGCAGCACTGTGGCACTCTGATAGGCCAGGTGACTGACTCCTCCTGGCACAAAGCATGACTGCAGTGGCTATTCAGCCATAGTAAGGGAGTAATGATGCTTCTTTCAACGATGATGGTGATCATTCATTCTTACATTCACCAAACAGTTATTGAGGAACTACTGTGTGCCGGGCATTGTTTGAGATGCCAAAGATGAGACGAAGTCTACTGGAGAATAGCGGTACACCGACAACACACAATTGAACAGTAGTTAATTTCAGGTATTGATAAATGCTGTGCAGAAAATAAAGCAGGGTAATTAGACAGAGAATGGCAGCTGCGGGTGCTGGTGGGCGTGGTTTTGGATAGACCTGTTAGATAGATCTGCCACCCAACAGCCAGAGTTACTGCCACCTGTTAACCTGTCCTGTGCTCATGCCACCAAAACACCCTATGCCGATCACTCCCCACTGGCAGCAGAGATATCCAGAGAAAAGGGGCACACGTCCTTGACAAAAACCCCTCTCCTTGCAGGGAGAGGACGGGAGGAACAGTGGCTGAGTGTGGGTGGTAGGATGGATCAGGAAAGGAAGAGCAGGCTGTGGACAGGGCAAGTGGGTCTGGGAAGAAATGAGGTGCACAGAGGTGGAGGACTGGATGGGAAACACCTGCTTCCCACATGAACCCTGTTCTTGGGGCTTCCTCCAGTGGCCCTGCCCCATGAGTAGATACCACCAGACTTCTGTGATCTGGTAAGTAGACAGAGCTGACCTCTGTAATGCTGTGACTGATCCACTCCCCACCCCTGCTGTCTGCTCTGGATGCTGGTCTTCCACCCCCTGAGGTTTGGGGTGGCAGGAGTTGGGGGGACACCAATTTGAGTACATATATAGCTAATACCCTTTTCCAGAAGGGCTATCTCCTTTATTATTGGTGGTAGTAGAAATATTAAGAGCTAACACGTGTGAGTGTGACAATATGCTTACTGAGTTAAGTGCTTCACATGCATTATCTCATTGATAATGCATTATTCTCACAACAACCCAATGAGGTAGGTACTTTTGTCTTCATTTAACACACAACAAACTTACGGCTTAGAGATATTTACAACTTGCCCAGGGTCATGAAACCATGTCTGTGGGTTTATCGAAGTACCCGACCTTACCCATTATACTCTACTGTTTCCCTTGGCTCAAGGGCGGCTGTGCAATGCACACACCCTACCCTTGGCCCCTGCACCCCATCTCTCTGCCATGTGCTTACGCAGGCTTCAGCTTGAGCTACGACAGAGGAGCGCAGGATCTGCAGTGCACCAGCCACCAGACCAAGAGGACACATGGAGGCGGGGACTGAGCCTGCACTCTGCTTCCAGGTCAAGTGTGTGCCTTGGCTTGGGGCTAAAGGGTCAGGAAGACACTGCAGGCTAGTGGTGGCTCTGGACCAGCCCCTCCTATGGGGACGAGCTAGCCTGACTGCCCCCTGCACTGCTCCTCACCGTGGAGGGTCTGGCCTGCGTCTCTCCCACCCACACGCCTCAGCACACGGAGGCCCATTCTCATGCCGTCTGAGAACTAGCCTGGAAAGTCAGTATGTCATCCCTGACTGAAAACTCTTCCTGAATCCTCACTGCCTATAAAAGCTAAAACTCAAGTTTTTTTCTCTGGGCACAAAAGTCCTTCAGAATCTTGTTCTCAGCCTCTTCTAGCATCATTTTAGCCTCTCTCCCTGAGGTTAAGTGTTCCTGCCAAATGCTACTCCCCTCCCTTCCCTGGAGATCCTGCTCCTTGATAACCGGTGCTCTGCGGTCCTCTGCCTAGGGTGCTCTCCCCCAGCCTTACTTTTTGCCCCGAGAGCTCCAGTGATTCCATTGTCACCCAACTCAAACGGAAGTGCTTTGCAAAATGTCCCTCAATTTCTTTGGGTGGTGTTGGCTGCGCTACCCATTTACCAACATCATGATGCCAGAATGTATCTGTTTCTCCCATCCCTGGGTTTGAGACCCAGGAGTCTGGGCCAGGTCAGACCGTGATGTTAAACATATTACTACATTTCTTCCAGCCTCCATTTTCTTTTTTTAAAAAAAATAATTCCTTCTTTTTTCTTTAAATCTTCACCCAAGGATTTTTCCATTTTTGTTCAGATAGAGTGGGAAGGAGAAAGACACATCTATGTGAGAGAGACACATCGACTGGTTGCCCCCCGCACAACCCCAACCAGGGCTGGGAACAAACCGCAACTGAGGTACATGCTCTTGACCGGAATCAAACTCGCGACTCATTGGTCCATGGGCTGATGATCTAACCACTGAGCCAAACCGGCCAGGGCGAGCCTCCATTTTCAAATGAGTAGGATGGAACAATATATGGACCTATCTCAAATGCTTGCTGTGAGGTTTCCATGGGATAATGTCGAGTGCTTGCCAGCATGGAAAGAATATAGTAAGTGCTCAATAAATGTGCGCTATTATTACTTTCATATTGCTAGTATGTATAGGAGAAACTACAAATAATAATGTAGTAATAATTCATTAATCTATTAACGATTCATGGTCTCCATCAATGGTATTCACCAGCATGTGACACATTATTAGCTCCACAGAAAGTCCAACAAATAGTCTTTGTCCTATAAGACAGAACACGTGATAGGTGAGTAAATAGGAATCCATGGACGAAACCATAAACACATACAGGAAGTTGGAAAGCCCTCTCCACTTTGTGTGGGAGGCCTGGCCTGTGCCTTCTCCTTCACCTTGGTTTTCCCAGAGCACTGAAGGCTGAGACAGGCACCATCACAGGGTGGTCAGGAGCACAGACTGACCAAGCATGCCTGTGTTCAAATCCCAGGTCTCCTGCTAACTAGCTGTGGCCTTGAACAAGTGACTTCTTTCTGTGCCTCAGTTTTGTCACCTGTAAAATGGGGGTGACAATAGTACCTACCCTGTAGCATCGTTAGGAAGATTAATTAAATTAATTCATGTCTGGTGCATGTTAAGAGTGCAATACACTTACTATATCGGCCCTACATCAGGCAAGCTTTTCCAAAGCTAAACAGCTAAACAATTTTTTAGATGGAGCAGGAAAGGAAGAGCAGGCTGAGGACAGGGCAAGTGGGTCTGGAAAGAAGTGAGGGAGT